CTTTGCCTAGGCCCTGCTACACGCGATATTGTTTCAATCAGTCGGATCGGTGTAAAGATGCATGGAATGAGCTCACCTAAACCATTTGTGCCACTGGTTTTCTTCTTAAGTATCACTAACCGATCACCACTGCTATAACAACGCAACTCTCCTGACAGCGCCCCAACGATAACTACTATATCAACTATAAGCATTTGGAAGTCTCTAGGACTTCTAGTGGAAGTCAAATGAGTGGTAGTGTCAGGATGAGTTGGATCGTAAAGAGGAAGCATCGTAAGAGGACGACCTAACGTCAAAATTCTAACCCGAAATCCTTTTGATGTGACCCACAGAATGAATTTTCATTTTCAAGGAATTATTTGTCCGGGAAATAACGTTTATGATACCGCTTTCAGGTCGGTTTCGGTGACATTGTGCCACTCAATCGAGAATTCTACCTGCTTGATCTCTGCTACATCATCATTGGACTTGCTATTACGTGAGAAAAGCCGCTAGTTGAAAACTCTTCATAATTACCTCAGGTATCTTCGTTGCAGGACTATGTGCATCGACCTGGTTGGTATACAGTACATCCGCAAAATTCATTACTTCGGAAGGGCTATTAAGGTAAGCATGCTTACAGCTCATTTACCTTTTATGGGTCTTGCATTGGGAAATGCTTGCAATTGCGGAGGAGGAGGGGATAGGGGGCATGGCAAGTTTCCCGGTCAGGTCATCCAATCACTTCCTAGGACTTATCAGTTATTCCATGGCTTTCTTATTTTGATGGATTCGATGGATTAGGCTGGGAATCCCTCATTTGTTTCAGGGATTAAAATATACCTGCGGACAAGTTTATATAGCTATTTCGCTGGTCTCAGATGTTTCGGTTGAAGCGTCAGTAGTACTGGCTGTAGGAAATGTCATAAATGTATTTAGGATGACAAACTATGCCCAGAAACTTGTCCGATCCGATAGGGGTTTAATATCTAACTTCGAAAAATGGGGCATTGAGGGGTAATGGGTGCGAAAAAAAACTTGTGTAGGAAACAGAAATGTAATACATCGTGCCTTCAGGATGCTCGTTTCGCTTTGGTGAATGTCGGCGGTAAAATGGTTCACGTACCAGATTTAATGCGATATGCCAGCGTACTGCAACAGGTAACCTGCCTTTCACGCTAGAGAATTACAGGCGATATAGCTGATCGAAACAGCGCAAATTCTAGAGAAGTTTTTCTCTAGATGAGCCCCACACACGGAAAAAGGATTCAAATGTAATTTTAGAAATACGGCCATAAGAAGCCACATGACACCGTCATTGTCAAAGGAGCTTACCGCGCCAAAGGACATACACAAAATCAGGTAACTTGTACGTTACAGTCAAATGTGCGTCTCTACTTACCGTTCCCTTTGCAAAGACGCTACGCGACGGGTGATAGATTCGCCGGCGCTGTAAACAAAGGCGGCAGACGACCGGCGGGACACTCTGCAACGCCTCTATGTCTTTCCACAGCAGTCTTGGCTTGTGGAGGACATATATCCTTCTCTAAGAATACCCTTCGGACGCTGTCATCTGGCGCTCAAGCCCAAGCTTCGTTAGGAGAAGATATGCAGAGGAGCAGCCGAATGCCCCCAAATTTCATGGCCTTTTCGCCGCTACTATAGCGGGATGGACCAAGCTGCAAAGCGATAAAGTCTCTTTCACGTTTCTCTGAGGGACTACGATATGTGGACGCGGACTAGGTGGTCTGCGCTTTTCTGAGGCTAAGCCGGAGGAGAAATGTATCACCTGTATGAGGCGCACGAAACGATTCGCTGCTGTCGACATGGTTTCCGCACAAAACCACCGTAGAGCGCACCAGTTTGTATGCATGCACCATCGCACTTATGCATCCCATTTATGTTATCATCCTTATTGCTTCAAGAATCACCTCAGGCGATAAAAGTGTCAAGGAGATCGATTGTGAAACAGTAGCTGATAAGTAATTCCTCAATGAAGGAAAAAGAAACAAGAGCCCTCAAGAACACCATAAACAAAATCGCGACCTGACAGTCACACCTCCCTGCGGTCTCTGTGCAAGCCCTGGCTCACAAATCACTTTGTCACATCTCCCAGTAGTGGATATCATCGAATGCGAAGAAAAGAAAACAAAAAACAACAGAAACATAGAGGAAAAACTCTTGAAAAGAAAAGGAAACATTTAAAAAGCCGGCGTACGAACTGATGCTATCTAAACGAAGCCGAGGTAACCTCTTTCCCGCGCGCTTTAAATAACCTTCCCGCGCTTTGAATAACCTTCCCGCGCGCACCTGTTTGAATCAACTTCACTGTGGCGCACTATTTTAAGGGCCGTACACAACCGCCCGGGGTAGGTTCAACGGAAATGTGGTACTTTGTTCGAATTTGGTCATCAATTCCAACATATTCTAATTGTATCACTGATCATTGCAATCAGTAGTGATCAATAACTTTAGCTGCAGGGTCGCAAAGAAGATCAACTCAAATTCGTTTCACCCCCGGAAGTTTGAAAAAGGGACCTTCAAGGGACGTCTAATGCTATTACAACCCAAGCAGGGTATCTCACTGGTTTCACTAAGTTTCTCAAAACACACTGGATGTGCAGGATAAAGTATCGGTATGATGTACTACTGTAATTAGATAATCAATGACAAAACTTTGGATGAGAAATGGTGGAAAAAGACGAAAATCTTACGAAAGCGTCGGATGAGAAATGGTGGAAAGAGACGGAAATAACCACACTTGGAAAAACCGACAAAAGCCGGGATAAAGAAGCGGGATAGTTCTCTCCACGAGCGACTGTTATTATGGCAATGGGAGATCATCGGAATTTATGAGGCGGAAGAGCGCTTCCAAACCGCCATACTTTCATGACAGGCGGAGTGGAGATGAGGCTATCACTTAGACGGCACTTTCGATGATGCTGTTGAAATTTGTATCGAAGTTTGAAATCATAGTTTTTTATGTGACGAAAGGAAACTGAAGTTGCGGGACGTCGTCGGTGTTTTCTCGTATTCTTTCCTTCGTAACGAACGATATTCACTACCGAAAGCTGCGAAGAAGCGATTCGTGGGTCAGTGGTTGCACAAGGGCCAGAGGGCAATGTGACTGTCAGAAAGCAATTTTGTCTGTGGTGTTCTCGAGAACTCCTCTAGCTTTTTTTCGAGTAATTGCTAATCAGCCACTGTTTCATAGATGAACAGAAACTATCCATGACACTCTATCGCGGGAACTGTCTTCTAGTAGACCGCTAACAGAATAGAAGTGATTGTGAAATAGCGCGCCCCAATGAGAGCCATTCAAACGGGTGCGCGCGGGAATGTCGCCAATGTGGTTACCTCGGCTTCGTTTAGATAGCATCAGGGGTCAATAGCACATGTGAAACGGAAAAAGACGCGAGACAATACGACCCCCCCCCTTTCTACCAA